ACTAAATAAACCATTGCCAACAGGCTTTAACAAGCCAGCCTCAAAGTGGGTTTGTCTCGACAAACTTTACTGTCTAGTTCATATTGAAATGCAATCAGAAAAACTATTTGCAATTGAATTTGAAAAAATGTCTGGAATATCCTTTTATAGTAAAGACTTTTCTGAATGAATGTTTCAGAATTTCAAAATTATTAACACAATATTATTAGTTGTTTTCAACCCTATTATGGGTTTTTGTAAATTACCTTCAATGCAGTGTGTAACACAGCTTTAAGTGAACAAAAACCTCCAGCCGAGGTTTAAATCTGAAAGCATTTCTGTCATTTAGTCATTTAAATAATTCGCCATTAGTTGTAATCTTTAGCCATTTTGTCATGACGTCTGAACAAAACATTACCCCTCACACTTGCTCCTGTTGCATTTGTGGTTGCTAGTCCACCATCAGTTGTCCTTTCACACCAGACTGCAATACCTATGAACCCATGAAAGTACTTTCATTGCAATGGCTTGAGTCACAGCAACTAGAACGCACCACCATTGACAACAGCCTGGGTCAGACCAATCACAGCAATATAACATTCCACAAAAAAAGGGGCTTAGAAAAATGGATAATTCTGTAAAAGCTATAATCTTTTATAATGCATATTAGGGGCACTTTAAATAAAATTAATAATAATCCACACTATTGCTACATTTAAAGTACTGCTTTTTAGGTCATAAGCATAGGATTTTTTTGTTTGTTTTTGTTTGTGACTGGATTTATTTGCATACTGATTGGTCATTCTTTGAGCCAAGCAAACACTGCAATTTCCTTCGATTAATGCCAATGTAGTTGTAGATTGTTAGGATGGGCATGTGTGTGTGTGTGTGTGTGTGTGTGTGTGTGTGTGTGTGTGTGTGTGTGTGTGTGTGTGTGTGTGTGTGTGTGTGTGTGTGTGTGTGTGTGTGTGTGTTCTTTAATAACTGTACATCTTTATCTTGTGACTAGTGGATTTCTCTGGACATCTTTTAAGCACACAGTGCACTTTGCTTCTCTTTCCAAATATAAATCTCTTCTTTATTGGCAACTGATGCATAACAAACGGCAGATTTCAATGTAACAACAAGAAAAAAAAACTTTGTGAAGTATATTTATGTTGTTTAAATCCTTAGTACATCAGCCTATCAGGCTTAAATTACATGCCTCCTGAATGTTATCTTATATTTCCATCACTGAGACTCCTGCATGCATCATAAACATCAGTAAAATGTCATACTATCTTTTAATTGATCTTACTAAAGCAATCACAGCATTCTTCACAGTGAAGCATCTGATACACAGCAGGAATATCTAGTGATAAAGAGAGATTTTTTGTTGATTCATTATATTTTATATGCATTTAAGTAGCTTCTAAAATGTTGTACACTTTTGCACTTCTATGGACCTCAGTCAGAGTAGATGCTATATTTAGTTTGACGCAAGTTTTGGTGTCACAATTACAATGTTCAGTACATATTTACTGTGTTCATTCTGCTAACTTATTGGTCAGGTGTATATAAAACCCTCTGTGGGCGTAGTCCATTCTTGTTCAGTAGGTTGCCTTGAATCATTTAAGGTTATTTGTTTCTTTATTTATTTACTTATTTTCATGTATTTAGTAAACACTGAAATTTTCATTTGCTTTAAATTATATATGGTATGTTCTCTGACTTCCATGATAAAGACAATCCAAGGTAAAATCAATAAAATAAAAACATATTACCACTTTCTGAAGTCATTTTCACATCTTGGACAATTTTGAGAACTAGTTTAAAAGTTTACAGGGATATTAAAGTTGGTTTGTTAAATTACATTTTTGTGCATTTTTCTGTTATCTCCATCAATCTGAACGCAACAACATTTAAAAACAAAAAAATGTTTCATGGCCGTCTTTAAAGGTGCTGTATGTAAGTTTGTAAGTAAGTAAAGTATAAAGTAAAGTAAGTAAAGTATAAAGTTTCTAAGTAAGTAAAGTATAAAAATACCATAATATGTTAAGAAACATGCCAAGTGAACATTCTTGTTTATCTAAAAAACAATACTTTGAAAAATGTGTGTTAGCTATCAGAATACCTGTCTTTGTTTTTGTTTTTTTTAACCCGCCCAAAGCCAGTTTAGCCAATATTATTTTTAGCACCCTGGGTTGCCTTAGTGAAAAACATCGTATTTCATTCATTTAGTTCGGAAGGCCCTTATAGTATGCGGTAGTGACTGAAATGCGACCTCTGGTGGACAGTAGCAGCCTCCGAAATGAGACGCAGATTCAGAGATTCAAATGAGGTTATTATTAGCAAATAACATTATTATTATTACGAACATTAGGTTAAGGTGGTTACCTTGTAACCCAGTGTCCTAACAACACGCTACATGATGAGATTTTCAGTGATGAGTAATTTGGCTGTTTGCGCCAGACGCAGCATGACAGAAATGTAAATACAGCCATTCATAAGCACAGAATAGTGCACTTACTGCATTCCAACGAAATGGTACGGTTTATAATCTTATTATTACATTTTAAACCTGTTTAACATTATTAAATGTTCATGCTGAATCAGTGAAATGTGTGTTGGCTTGCACCGAGTCACAGTTTTAAAGTTCAATTTCAAATGGTTTCCTTTATTTTCAAGATCTGAGGTGAACTATCTGCTTCTCTCAGTATATGACAATCATGTAAAATGGTATTCAAACTCACATTGTTAGCATTTCACACTGAAAAAAGCACATGAGGTGTACCTGAGGTGACCATTGTCAGTTTATCTTGTTGACAGTTGCAAGAAATAGAAGCCATTTTTAAAATATATAATTCAGATGATGGTTAGAACAAAACTCCTTTTAATATGGACAATATTGTTTCTATTGTGTGCCATTGCTTTTATTTAGAACTTGATTTAAATCTGCTTTAAATCAGCCTTTAGGCTCGGTAGTCAGACTTGCTTCTGTTGGTCCTCAAACTGGCAACCTGCACTTGCGCGTTTTGAACCACGCACTACCTAGTTCAACCACTGGGTGTCAAACTTACATTCTGCACTTTTAGGTGCAGTATCTTTTGTGATTTGCTGGTTATAGCCAAATAATGATTATTTCCAGAAAAAACTCTGCTTTCTACCATTCTCTGAAAATAAAATAGCATGTTTTTAATATTCAAAATATTCAGTATTTATTTATCCATTGTTTGTAGCTTTATCGAAGAGTATGTAATACATTTATTATAAAAACAGCTTAAGAAGATGTCATCGCTTTCTTCAATCTCTTTTGTTAGAGTTTTTGTGGATCTTTGAATGTCAAATATATAATCAGAAACATTTTGTTTTTGAAAAGTAAGAAAGATTGATTGATTGATTGATTGATTGATTGATTTTCTTTGTTATTGTACCAGGGAATGCTCATGGATGCTTATTTTAATCTGATAATAGTTAGAATTGTGATGTTAATATTCACTGAAAAAAAGTGCAGAACTGTTGCAAACAATTTATTTTTGTTGAATTTAAACAAACAAATTAAATTTAATAATGTTCAACATAATTTTTTATGTCTAAATTCAGCCCAAATAAATTGTTTACAACCACTTAACGTAAAAAAAACGAGTAAATCCAAGGAATCATCTTTTAAAAAATTTCAGTGTAGCTTTCCACAGTGTTGATCTAGTTTCACACTTAATTCACTTTACATACAAGTGTGCACTTCAGAGTTATTAATTTTGACATCAAGGCAAGTCTGGAAACTATTCCGTGGGTTTGGCGCCTGGTGCACTTCTCGCTCCACATGATAGCTTTATGTACCTTTTATTTTTAATGTAAATTGAACTTAACTCTGAATGTGAAGTGACTTTTGCTCAGCCTCTTTTAAATGCACTAATAACTGTGTGAAAGAATACTTTCAGACTTAATGCAAGTTGTCACACCGAGCTGTTCTGCCGAAAGAGCCACATGGTGAGCTTATGGTTTGCCTTGAATTTGACATTGCGTTCATTTCCTGTTGACATCCATCAACTCCGTGCCACTTTTATTGAATGAATAAAAACATTCGACCAACGATGTGCCAGATATTCCTAAATCAAAAGCTTTTTTGGCAGATTGCCTGAAGATAAAAGATTAAAACTCTAAACTAAAGTCATTTGTGAGGGTTTTGCAATTCATAATCTGCATATCTGTGCTGAGTGGTTTGAGTAATAGAAGTGGTGGACTCCTAAGAGTGATGAAGTCTCAAATGTATAGAGTTTGGGATTAAACACTCTCCTCAGCCGGTATTTGTGAGTCTCTCTGATCGATTTAGCTGTCCCGAGGCTCCTCTCCACTGGGACACACTTCTGCTCAGCATAATTTCATTCCAGCAGAGAGTGATTATGACAGAAATCATCATTTCCGATAATTTTCCTTGATAGAATGCAATAGAATGCCGTCGTAGGCTACACATCCAAAATGAGCAACATTACTGCTGTTGAAGTCAATATCGTAAGTATGAAATTTTAGATTAGTTGTGGTCAATATCATCATTTTAATGTGTTTAAATAATGGGGCAACGCTAATTTCAAAATGCATTTCTCTGCATGAATATTAACTGCTGGAAGGCAATTTTCATACCACTTACATTTAAGAAATCCAATTAGTTTGCCAGTGAATGTTTTCAAATTGCTTTATGCCTCTGCTTAATGAAGAAGTAAACGATTTGATTTTAGAGGTTGATGAAGTACATATGAAATCACAGAAGTGGTTATTTTTTTACTTTTCTAGCTTGTTTTTTTTGTTTGTCAGCCATCCAGAGTCTCTCCAGACTAAGCATTAGATTTTGTGTGTGTCTAGTAGCTTTGTTCCAGAGGAAGCCAGTACAAAATGCAATCTTACAGTAAAAAAAAAAAAAAAAAACTTGAACAGAAGTTCCAGATGGTGTTTAATAATGGTTGATGTCTGGAGGTGAAGCTAATGTAGCGAAAAAAAAGCAATTTTCCGCTCACTTTGTACTCCGTCTTGACCCCTCTTCACAGTCTCCTGTGGTAAAGACAAAAACCATCACCATTTCTGATGTCACCAACTCCCTTCGCAGTGAAATCGCCACCAAGGACATCCCGATAGTGCACACAGAGACCAAGACCATCACCTATGAGTCTGCACAGGTGAGCGAGCAGACTTTTTGTTTATACTGAGTTTGGCTAGTGTTTTGTTGTATGAGAATTTGGGTTGTCGATTTAATGTGTTAATTATGGATTTTAAAGCAGTTAAAAGGATAGTTCACCCAAAATAAAAATGTCACAATTTACCCTTCACTTATTTCAAACCTGTTTAAGTTTCTTTTTTGTGTCGGACACAGAATAAGCTTTTCTGACAATTGTTGTAAACTGGTAAACATCGACTCCCATGAAATTATTTTTTTTTTACTATAGATGTCAATGGTTATGCGTTTTCAGCATTCTTCAGAGTATCTTCTTTTGTGTTCAACAAGAAAAAAAACTTCTAAACTTTTGGAACAATTTAAGTGATGTTTAGGAAATCTTAAATTCTGGGAGAACTTTTTTTTTAATCCACCTGCGCTGTCTCCATACCTGTGTACGTCTTACATTTCATAATGTTGATCGGAGACTAACAACTCACTACTAGGGATGTAACGGTATTGTAAATACCGTCATACCGCAATATTAATTTTTTTCGATATTACCGAAGTCGCATGACTCGGTAAAACTATAGGTCTTCTGAGAAAATTTGCTCAGGCGAATGAAGCGAACGGGAGGTAGCGAAAACTACAATACCCATCATCCCTTGCGGTCTGTTGTCGCTACAGATCCAGTAATGCGGAAATGGAGTGTGCTGCTAGAAGCGGCAGGCACTTTTTTCCAGGGGTTTCAGTACAGCGTAACCGCTACTGCGTCATCGGGTGGGCGTGGCCTATCTGTGAATTTGCATAGGTCACGGATCATGCGCAGATTGTGAAAACAGCCGTTTGATTCAGATACCTGTACGTATTGCAGGGGTTTCGTGTCAAATGCCTTTTATATGCAGTACTAAATAGCTGTCCTGATCGCAGGTGTTTTATGTGAAGTCAGTGAATGTTATATTAAACAAATTAACTTAAGATACCTCTCAGATTACATTAATACTGTTATAACTTAAGATACCTGTCCCGATCCCACGGCTTTTGTGCCAAAAACTTTATATATTATATACATTAACATCAGATACCTGTCCTGATCCCAGGTGTTTCATGTATGATCACTTTTATATACATTAACATCAGATACCTGTCCTGATCCCAGGGGTTTCATGTATTATCACTTTTATATTATATACAGTAACATCAAATACCTGTCTTGATCCCAGGGGTTTCATGTATGATCACTTTTATATATATTAACATCAAATACCTGTCCTGATCTCAGGTGTTTCATGTATGATCACTTTTATATTATATACAATAACATCAGATACCTGTCCTGATCCCAGGGGTTTCATGTATGATCACTTTTATATTATATACAGTAACATCAAATACCTGTCCTGATCCCAGATGTTTCATGTATGATCACTTTTATATATATTAACATCAGATACCTGTCCTGATCCGAGGGGTTTCATGTATGATCACTTTTATATTATATACAGTAACATCAAATACCTGTCCTGATCCCAGGTGTTTCATGTATGATCACTTTTATATATATTAACATCAAATACCTGTCCTGATCCCAGGTGTTTCATGTATGATCACTTTTATATATATTAACATCAGATACCTGTCCTGATCCCAGGGGTTTTATGTATGATCACTTTTATATTATATACAGTAACATCAGATACCTGTCCTGATCCCAGGGGTTTCATGTATGATCACTTTAATATACATTAACATCAGATACCTGTCCTGATCCCAGGGGTTTCATGTATGATCACTTTTATATATATTAACATCGGATACCTTTCCTGATCCCAGGTGTTTCATGTATGATCACTTTTATATATATTAACATCAGATACCTGTCCTGATCCCAGGGGTTTTATGTATGATCACTTTTATATTATATACAGTAACATCAGATACCTGTCCTGATCCCAGGGGTTTCATGTATGATCACTTTAATATACATTAACATCAGATACCTGTCCTGATCCCAGGTGTTTCATGTATGATCACTTTTATATATATTAACATCAGATACCTTTCCTGATCCCAGGTGTTTCATGTATGATCACTTTTATATATATTAACATCAGATACCTGTCCTGATCCCAGGGGTTTCATGTATGATCACTTTTATATATATTAACATCAGATACCTGTCCTGATCCCAGGGGTTTTATGTATGATCACTTTTATATATATTAACATCAGATACCTGTCCTGATCCCAGGGGTTTCATGTATGATCACTTTTATATTATATACAGTAACATCAGATACCTGTCCTGATCCCAGGTGTTTCATGTATGATCACTTTTATATATATTAACATCAGATACCTGTCCTGATCCCAGGTGTTTCATGTATGATCACTTTTATTAACATCAGATACCTGTCCTGATCCCAGGGGTTTCATGTATGATCACTTTTATATTATATACAGTAACATCAGATACCTGTCCTGATCCCAGGGGTTTCATGTATGATCACTTTTATATATATTAACATCAGATACCTGTCCTGATCCCAGGGGTTTCATGTATGATCACTTTTATATATATTAACATCAAATACCTGTCCTGATCCCAGGTGTTTCATGTATGATCACTTTTATATTATATACAGTAACATCAGATACCTGTCCTGATCCCAGGGGTTTTATGTATGATCACTTTTATATATATTAACATCAGATACCTGTCCTGATCCCAGTTGTTTTGTGTATGATGACTTTAAATAAAAATAGAAAATAAATATGAGTTATGTTAATTAACTAAGATCGAGAAAGAAAAATTAACCACGATTTATTACAGAAAATGTGGTATTTATTTGTTTAAACATGACTGAATACCATATTTTAAACTACAAAAACACGGTTAATCTTACCACAACCATTATTATTTGGTTTAAAATGGAAGTACAAAAGCCCAGAGACAGTAAAACGGAGTAAAACGAGGTCAGCCGTTTTTGCTAATGAAATCTTTAAAATATAACATTATAAAAACAAAAAAATAACCTGTATGATTGTTTTTTCCCTCGTTATCCACCGCGGTAGGTTCTTTATCCATAATCATCCTGTTTGAAATGACCGCGCTAAAAAAGAACCTGTACTGCGCATGATCGGTGACCTCTCAGTATTGTTTTTTTTTTTTAAGGGGGCGTTTCCCAAACACCGACCGAGCCACGCCCATTTTACGTCGTGGTAATGAAACCCCTGGAATTTAGTGCATGCCTGCTAGAAGCGGGGATCAAAAAGAGCTGTAAAACTCTAAGGCCCCTTTTACAAGAGTGCGTTTTAGTTTTAAAACGGCGTTGTAGAATGAAAATGATACGCGTCCACACTCGCGTTTTACCCAGCGTTTCTGAACAGCTCTCCGTCCACACCAAAACGCTAAAAACGCACATCACGTGACCACAGACACTCTCGGGCAAGCGCTCCAGCATTTCTACCCAGATGAGAGCTCTGCTTGTCGGACTGCTCATCAAGCATCTTCCGCTGGATCTAATCTCACTATATTTGCTAAACGTGATATTTCATTCATGTTGTTGTCTTTATCTAACGACATAGGCCAATTCCCTGACTTTGGTCATTGGAATCTATTAAGTTACTTCACGGGTAACATGTTTTGGTTAAGCGCAAAGATAAGTTAATGATTAATCCAGGTACATTGACTGATCGCTTGCCTTTATTTCCTACAATGTATAAACTTATTGTATGTGATACTTTTATAATTGTCGATTATTAAAACTGATATTCAACAAAAGTGAGGGTGCGTTTCGTATTTTCACTGAAATTGAAAGGAGGTAGTTGTTATAGGCTCCGTTTTGTTATAAATATCCTCACAGTGAAGATGACGCTCATATATGCAGCACGACGCCTCAACATTTCTGCTGTCTGTTTTCTAATATTAAAAAGGAAATAGGCAGTTCCTTAAATCATGTTTACATTTTATTGTTGAGAAAGTGAAACAACGTAGCCAAGGTGATGTGAATGAAGTTATAAAGTACACTGTTCCGTTTGAAGATTTACGCGTGTCCTCGGTATGTTTTCCATATCAAACTGAGAAGGGGGAGACTGCAGCCTTGATCAAACTTGCGAAGTCTTAACTTACAAGAAGAGGATGCGAGACTGAACTGTGTGTGGGCTACTTAATATTGAGGAAAAGCCCCAATCAGATAGGCGAACGTTTGCAGCCCCGCCTCCGTTTTCAGATGTCTCCGTCTTTCCCCATCCACACTGAGACGGAGCAGCAGGTTTCAGAATGAAAACGGCCTCTCCAGCGTTTTCAAAAAGCTCCGTTTTCGGCGCTCGAGAAATAAGTCATATAAGTCATATCTCTCTTGTCCCAGAAACCTCAGTACCAAATGAGAGGTTTTTTTTCTGTTGCAGGGGACATTGTAAATGCCCAGAGATACCAGCTTTTACCAGATTATATTTATATGATAATTTTCCTTTAAACCCATCTCTATCTAAGTGAGTGAGTGATTAAATGTTGAATGTGAGGAGTTTTCAAAAATACTAAATTAAAAACTTAAATTTTTTTTTACATGGTTTAATATTTTTTTTGTTATTAAAATTGAAGTTCCTGTTTCAAAGCTTACAGATAGATGGCTAATTTGTATGTCATTGACACTTTTGGCTCTTTTTTGGAGTATTTTCATAAGTTTTGTTTTTTCCTGTAAATGATTCAATAAATACCGTACCGTGACATTCATACCGAGGTATTACCGTACCGTGAAATTCTGATACCGTTACATCCCTACTCACTACACAATGGAGTTTATTAAGTTCAGTTATATGCTCCTAAAATCAAGATACTTGGCCAATAATGTATCGTATGAGATTTTTTTATCATGTAATAGTTAAGCAATATCACATCAGTAATGAATGCAATCTCAGAAAAGGGCTGTTTTGCAAATCTGATATTGGGTCTGTACATTTAATCTATGTTTGAAATTAAAAAAAAAAAAAAATTGTCAAATTGTCCAAGTAAACATTGAGCAACAAGGACTTCATGAGGGACAACTTTGTGTAGAGAAACACTCTACTTTATCAACACACAGCAGTGGTTCATTTCTAAACTGATTCTTCTAAATAGTGATCTAAATGGATCAAATGAAAAAAAGACTCAGTGACTCACTCATCTGACATTTACAGCCACCTACTGCCTTCTGCTTATTTGGAGTAATATTTCATCAATTATATAAAGAAATCAAAAAATGTTATTATTTACTAACCTTCACATTGTTTCAAATGTATGAATGTCTTTGTTTTAAAGATAAAAGATATTGTAATGAATGTTAGTAGCTAAACCCTTTTTAGACATGCTGTAAACATTCTGTACAATAAATATTTACAGATATCTAAGATTTAATTATTTTTAGTCGATTTCATTCATTCATTTTCTTTTCGGCTTAGTCCCTTTATTAATCTGGGGTCGCCACTGCGAAATCAACCGCCAACTTACCCAGCACATGTTTTACGCAGCGGATGCCCTTCCAGCCTCAACCCAACCCAACCCAGCACAATCCACGCAAACACAGGGACTCCACACAAACTCCACACAGAAACGCCAACTGACACAGCCGAGGCTCGAACCAGTGACCTTCTTGCTATGAGGCGACAGCACTACTACTGCACCACTGAGTCACCTAGTCCGTTTTATTTTATTTTATTTTATTTAATCGATTGACAGCCTACGCTTAATATGTCAAACATGGAATGAAAAATGAACTGGAATGCAAAATTTATCAGCATTAAAGGTTTCATTCACCTCGTAGTGGACAATCGGTTACCATTATCTTATTCTCAAGGTGAATATAAATTAGGATGTTTTAGATCAAATCTGCAATTTCTGTTCCTCTCGTGAAATTATATTCACAAAAAAAACTGTGACTATTTAAAAAAGATCCAATTTTAAATCCATATAAATTCAGTATTTTAGCTTAAGCCATCTAAAGCAGGGGTCACCAATCTCGGTCCTGGAGGGTTGGTGTCCCTGCAGGGTTTAGCTGCAACTTGCCTCAACACACCTGCCTGGATGTTTCAAGTATACCAAGTAAGACCTTGATTAGCTTGTTCAGGTGTGTTTGATTAGGGTTGGAGTTAAAATCTGCAGGACACCAGGAGCAAGTTTGGGGACCCCTGATCTAAAGGGATGCGAGTGCTTTATCAGACAAACAGATGTACAGTGGAAACAAGGGAAACATAAGGGCGATCTTAAACAAAAAAAGGCCCCTAGCCTATAAGGTGTCTTATGGAATATCTTAAACTGACCAGTAGCTATGTTTGGTAACACTTTATTTTAATGGTCCATTTGAGTATTAGTAGATTGTCTGCTTAATATCTGTCAATATGCTCCTTCAACAGACATTTAATGGGGGGGTTGATTGTAAAAGGGGTTGATTGTACTTTTCCGACAATGGAAAAGTAGTTGTTCCTTGTGCCACCTGGTGGATATTGTGTAAAGCACAAAAATATATAGATATTTTTTTAATGAATAGGCGACCCTTGCTTCTGCAGCACAGCGTGTCAAATTGCAGCATTACGCGTGAAGAAATGCATTCTCAGTGGCCATATCTGTAATTCAGACTTTCATTCACATATAAACATTGATTATTGAACAATGTTTACCATGTTTAAATTTAGCCATAGAAGATTGAGCATGTATAACTCTTGTATTGGCTCGTTTCCACTGACTGGTACAGTACAGTACGGGTCACCTTTATCAGGCTTGCGTTTCCACTTCCAAGGGTACCCTTTTGGTGGGCGTGGTGTATGACAGAAAGAGTCAGTCGACGTCATTTCCGCTTGAGAAAATATCTATAGCTGTACGAATCGCTTGCATATCATATGAGAAGCACTTCTCACAAAACAGATGCTTGATACACATAAATACTTCTGGATAAAGGTTTATTACTAACTTTTCTATGAACATGAGTTGATTATAACTGCTGATCAATGACGAAATAGCCTTTTGCAATTGTGTAAAATGAATAAATGCAACATATATAAACACAAATACAGACCCTTACAGTCTCCAATATGTTACCAAGAAGAACTACACACAACAGACATTTAGTCCTTGTTTAGGTCCAAAATAACACAAAATTTTGCCCACAGTCAGAGCATACCTCTCATCTGTGTCTTCAATCTTCAGCAGCACATGTAACCTCTGTTAGAGAGTAATTCCATCATTCTGAGTTCATAATAGTCCAAAAGGTGATGATAATAGTTAAACGTGGCAGTTTGTACCTGTTTGCTGAAAAAATAATGTGCTCTTTTTTTTCAGGCCTCTCCTTTTTTTTCACGCTTCACTCTCGCGTTTGTCCGTTACTGACAGGATCTGGTTTCAAAAGCACGTCAATAATTAAGCGCATGTTATTATCATGAGCTCAAGAAGTTTGTTATTTCAGATATAAGTGCAAGCAATAAAGCGTAACTGCTCGCGCTTCAGACTGGCTCGTAAAAAAGGTGCACAGGGTAAATCTGCTCTTCTTTTTGGCTTTGTGGCTGTTCATCAAGACGACAACAGGGTTTGCTTGAGCCCGGGTCGACCATGGCTCGCTATTATATGTTTATATAATTACGCTGTTATCTCTCGGCTTTGTATTTTAATCATGGTGGATCCTTTGTTTTCATTCTGGCTTGTTGCGTAAGTGAATGACGTTTCTCTGTAAACCAATAGTGTTCAGCTGCGTGTCTAGCTCCGCCTTTTGGTACCCTTTCGAAAGTGTGCAGAAAAAGTGATACAGTATGGTTCGGTATGCCTTTTGACAGTGGAAACGGCCATAAAAGTGTACCACACCGAACCGTACGGTACCACTCGATGGAAACAGGTCATAAGAGAGCCAGCAAGGATTGTTCTTGCATGTCACACCAGCATGTTTTAGCTGACATAAGAATCAATGAGTTTTGCTTTAATTCATTCATTCATTCATTCATTCATTCATTCGTTGTTGCACTGAGAGACTATACTTTATTTACAGTACTTTTATTTTTGATTTGAAAGGTCTGCATTCTTTTACAAAACTTGCTTTCTCCCTTTTTAAGACATTTTAAAACATTTTTAAGCAGAAAAAAAGATTTGCAAGCGAATGCAAAGGTACTCCTGAGAACACAACAATTTGTGACAGATGGTTTTGCAAGCAAACGTGCTGAAATGTAATTGTTTCTCCCATCTCATGTTTTCTCAATCACCAGGTCCCTTAGTATCCACAGGAAATAGCTCTGGGAGTAAGTGATAAATAAAAGCTTTAATGGTGGAAGCATACTCTAACCGCATGCGTTTGTTTGTTTGTTTGAAAATAGCCTAATGCACTGGCAGAAAAGGAGTCTGGGATGCTGTTGAGTGCTCAGACCATCACCTCAGAGACTGTGAGCACCACCACCACAACCCAGATCACCAAGGTATCAGGCTCTCACATCAAATTATACCAACATCTGCAATGGCATGAAAGATCCTGCATCGTCTGCTGTTTATAGAACTGATTGCAGTTGAATGACTTCTATCGCAATTAAATTACCAAAATGATTTGATTAGCAATTTTCACAAAACTATTTGAGAAATATCCAACATCTGATTTGCAATGGCTGCATAGAGTACTAAAGTTAGGGCCTATTGCTGCCAGGAGGCTGGGTACGTGAGATAAAGGAATTTGTTAATTACAATTTATATCACCATTCTACAGTATCTTTCCATTTTGCAAGTTAGCCAAGAATGGCCGTACTGCACAGATGAGATATTCACTTCACTGTGTTTCTGGCTCTCTCTCATTCTCTCGTTCTCTTCCCTTTCTCTGCTCAAGACGGTGAAAGGCGGGATCTCAGAGACCCGTATCGAGAAGAGAATCGTGATCACTGGAGACACTGAGATTGACCATGACAAGGTGAAATGCACCTACAGATAATAACCACATCGGCAAAAGTTGATGTAGGCTGTTTTTAAAGACTTAAAGAGATTTTAATCAAAGGAAAAAATATAAATATTTGGTCCAGTTGAATGAAAGATTAAAAAATAGGGCTGTCAAAGATAACACATGAATGTATGCAATTAATTCCAAATCTCTAGCTAACTAATTGAATGCAAATAAATGACTTTCTATCATGACCACTCTCTGGATTTAGAATGGTTATAAATATGTATATGGCACTGTTTATGTCACAGGTGTCAATTCCACTTACTGGAGGACCAGAGCTCTGCACAGTTTAGTTTCAACCCTAATTAAACACACCTGATCAAACTAAGGCTGCATTTACACTGCAGATCTTGATGGTCAATTCCGATTTTGTGACTGCATATAATTTTTTTGATGATTGATTTTTGTTTGATGATTGATTTTTTTTCGTCAGCATTTACACAGCAGACGGAAAAGACGCAATGACCAGGAAAAAAAGAGCGGACTCTGACTAACAGCTGATTATTAAAGAGTGCTCTTTTCTCTATTCCTGTATGTAATCTGTTCACAGCTTTTGACAAGCTGTTTTACTATAGTTTATGACAGAAAGGTTCTCATTTGTTCATCTTCTTTTGATATATAGGCTTTTTTAAACCTTTAGTCATCTTAATGTAATGTCCATGGCGTGATTTATGCACGTGATATATGCACTAGTTTTTTATTAGTTTATATTGGTTACGTGGCGCTCTCTCGCTCTCGTTTACATGATTAAATGCTTATGTTTTATGACAATATAAGAGCTGTTTAAGTCCTCATGTATGAGATTTAAGGTTTGAAGTCTAAAAAGAAAGTGTCAGACTTCTACGTCCTTCACTATGGTTTTTAATGACAAGCAACTTGACAGGTGTAAATTCGATCTACCTGCTTACACTGCAGACACTAGAACACAGATCCGATTCATATCAGATAAATTTCCACATATGAACAAGGCCTGAGTCTGATTTGAGTAAATCGGAATCCATGTGATTTGTTCCTGCTTACACGTACATGGGCCATATCCGATCTGTGCCACATGGGAGAAAAAAATCGGAATTGAGTCACTTGAACAGTGCAGTGTAAATGCAGCCTAATCGAGTCCTTCAGGCTTGTTTGAAACCTTCAGGTAAGTGTATTGGAGCAGGGTTGGAACTAAACTGCAGAGCTGCGGCCCTCCATGAACTGGAATTGACACCTGTGGTTTTTGTGTTTGGTCTTGGCGGCATATATCTGCTACACTGCTGCTGCTGGTAATATATATATGTTACCCCGTAGTAGATCAAAACACACTGCAGTATAACAGCATAGAACAACGCTGAGCATTTAAAATGATGAGAAGCTTGATCATTGCCTGCAATAGCCAATCTACTGCGCCAGTGTTGGGGCTAAAATATTACAAGTATTGCAAGTCATGTATTAATATTGCTTTTCTAAGTAACGAGTAAAGTAACGTATTACTTTAAAAACATTAAGTAGTAATATTTGAGTTACTTTTTTTAAATGTATTGGTACCTTTTAGTTTAATTAATTTGCTTTTAAAAAATACATTGCTCAATTAAAATTGGCTCAAAGAGCGAAATTTTCTCCCTACAGAAACAAACAGAAACCAAGATGGCAGAGCTTTATATTTCTGTGCTGGTATTCTCATTATTATTAATGCATTAAAGAAAACTAAAAGGGGATTGTCTGAATGCTCATTTTACTTCACTAATAATACAAAAAGTATAAAAGCATTAAACACATTGCTTTAAACTTTTAATAATCTGTAAAAACGGCATTTAGAGTTAATAACCTAAATTATTATTATTTTATGTGTTTTTTAAAGGTAAATAAAGGTTATAAAGTGTGTTTTTTAATCGCAGAGCTCCTCTGCTTATAAAAAGAAGGGAAAAAAGGTAAGTAAAAGTAATGTGAAAGTAACGTAACATATTACTTTTCATAAAAAGTAACACAACAAGTTACTTTTTGGGGAAGTAACCTAATACTGTAATGCATTACTTTCAAAAGTTAATGATGTAGGGGCAGATCAGGTGACCTACAGTATCAGTCTGCGTGAACCTCCATAGAATTTCATGGCAGAAATTGTACTGAGCATGCAAAATCATGTCACATATATTAATTAAAGTCTGTACATTTTTTGGCTGGATAAAGCAAACCAATGTCTCGTAAAGTTTTGATTTACAGTATTAATAGTATATAAGTATTTAAGGATTGTAATCTTGTAATGATATATACATGTTACGTAATTAAATGGATCTGTGTTCTGTGTAGCAAGGATAAGTATATGTAGAACTGTCCTGTCAGCATGTACAGTTTATGGATTGTACAGCTATACAAATATACAGGTTTCATGAATGGAGTATCCACAGAGCAGAAAACTGAGCTATTTTGATCTATTTTGAACGCGTGCTCCACTTCGTATGTGCTTTGCTTAACGCAGCAAAAAAACAACCTTTGCATGGTGTAATGAAGAGAACTGATTTCATAGCGTAGTGCTTTTTGCATCCAATGTGAAAGCAACATCACAGTGCAATGACTACAGCTGGCAGTAGAGGGCAGTGTGGCTTAGCATAATCTATTTCCGGCTCATATTTTAAGGCATTTTGTCTCCGCTGAAAATTATCAGCTAAAAATGGCATTTTTACTTTGCTGATGATCATTTTCTGAGGCCCAAAATACAGAGCATGCCTAGTTTTGATCATTTTTATAGGTGCTTTGGTCTGCATCAATGTATAATACAAATTATATGTACTCTATTATTTGGTCATTAAGTGGCCTTTTGGAATCTCCATAAGTGTTGTTTAAATTAACCTTGAAAAATTCTTTCTAGATAATAATTGTTCATAGTAAATGATGACAAAATAAACCCATTAAACAAGATGAATGCCTTATGCTTATGTAATTTCACAAGCATGCAGTTCATTGTGATTTGTTGCATAAAACGGCAATGAAAAATCACTATTAAAAGTAATGTTGTTACAGCCCTAACTATAACTAAATACTGAAAGTTTTGATTACCTCAAAGCTATCGCACATGATTTTTAAGCCACACATTTTCTGTAATCATTCTGTGGGGACATTTTGTGTATTACTGGAACTACTGGTTTCCACATCTTCTGTTGCCAACGGTCTGGTTTAAATACTGTCCTCTCTGGTCTCCAGGCTCTTGCTCAGGCTATAAAGGAAGCGAAGGAGCAGCACCCCGACATGTCTGTCACTAAAGTGGTGGTGCATCAGGAAACAGAGATTACCCCAGAGTAACTCCTATATAAGACACAGGTTAGTATCCATGATTATAGTACAGTATTGGCAACCACTGACATGTGAGCAACTCCAGTGAAAGTGATTAATATTTCATACATTTAATTTACTTTTTTTTTAAATATTGAAGTGATCTGCATGCCTTTTGCAGTAATGTGTTCTTGTCGTTAGCAAGCATGTTTTATTCAGATATGATCCTTATAGGAAGCCAGAAATGTATTAAGCAGAGAGGAAAGTGATGTGTGTAGAAACTATTATTTTAATTCTATTATGAATACAATTTTGAAGACTATAAAGCATTTTTATAATGGTATTCTTATGAAGAAAAAAGTCATAGCTGATTTTCAATTTGTCATCCCGATGAGAGCAGTTAAAAGAGGACTGCTGTGAATATAGGCAGTTAAGTGGGAAGATAAGAGACTGACATAAATCATTAAAAAAAAGATGTACTGCAGACATGAACTATTTGAAGATCTTAAAGCTGAACTACTTACATACATTATTTTATTATAATAACTGATTTCTTGATATATTTAAATTTAAAGACATATTTTGGCATGCTTTTATTTATTAAAAACTGAAAAATAAACTTTATATAACATATTTCCAATATTTTTCACGTTTTACATTTATTTTTTAATGTTTTTTAATCAGTAAAGTAGGGTAACATATTTAGGAGTGATTTCAAGTAAAATAGCATGTTTTTCAACAGATTGCTGACCTCTATTTTAGATTTAATTCCAGATCTTTGATTTTACTTTATAAAATGCTTCCACTTTTAATGTTGCATACTGCATGACTGACACAAACAAAGTCGTATTACTGCACAAATACGTCATGCTATGAGTAAATACTTCTTTTTAGTCTCTGCGCACCCAGATCTTTTAGTGTAGGTCTCTAATAGCTCTTGCGTTTGATAGGTTTATGGCATGTATTTAAATCTGCCCTCTCATGGGCAATAAAGCCACACCATCTCCCCCGGTACATTAAATCCATTAAAGCATTTCATTACAGCATGCCATTTCCGTTACAGCATGATACCTTTTAAAAACAGCAAGGAAACTGCAGAATTCAGCAAGCTTACCACTACAAACAAACCAGAACGCTTTAATAAGCAGGTAATGATGGAAACCCTCCATTGCAGACCGCATACAAACAAGAAGTCATTAGGATCCCAGAGAGTTAGACACAGACGCGCAAACTATATGATTTAGTGTCATCATTAACTGTGCTCCAATGAAAACCTCAGTCTTTTTGACAGCGCTGATATGCTCCTACAGTATATTTACTGCTGTTATTCATGCTTGTAGCAGGGCTGGTGGCGTGCAGCATGTTAAATTCTTGTTTAGCTCTAGAATTTAAATTGACTTAGCAAAGAAAATGCTGAAATTAATGAGATGATATTAATGTTAATAGTTTATTAGATGACACCCAATATCAATTGCATGTCAATATGTGATATTAATAATCATTGTTGGCAACGCCACCTCTAAATTTTCTATAAATCTTATTTTTTTAATAGTTTGCCCAAAAAGAAAAAAAAAAAGTCAAAATTTACTCACCTTAGTGTCTTTATAAACTTCCAAAACTTTCCTTCATCTTTGGAATACAAATTAAGATCTTTTGAATGAAAGGTTCCTGATCCTCCATAGACACAAATGTTCCAGACTTCGAAAAATACAAAAAAAAATAAAATCCTCAAAACAGACCATATGCCTTCTATGGTTCAATGCAGTATGTGCCGAAGCATGCTAATAGGACTTAATTTGCCAGTAACCTGGGTTAAGTGCTTCTGGTGAACTGTTTTCCATTGCAAAAACAGTGAGTTTAAGGTCAGTTTTCTTTAAAAATCAGCGATTTCCACTGGCTGAGTGATATCCGATATAACGTGGGTCCCAGATTATACAAGAAGCACTGCATTACATTACATTTCCCCCTCCATGTTTTTATAATATGAGCATTTATTTTACCCCAGTATATATTACTGAGCTTCTGCGCTAGCCTGCCGATTGTGACAGGCGTTTGCAAGTAAACGGCTTTTTGTCTCGTTTTACGCGTGAGCAAATAAATGAATGCCAGAGTCTATTTAACTGATTGTATTGTAACTACATTACAATATAAATGCTGTAAAAGGAATCGTTTAGAATGGAAAAAACGAACAATAACAGTTAACCGGAAGTTTATCAGCATGGGAACAGCACTAGCTCGGCAAAAACCCTATTGAAATATTACGAAGCCACAAGAGCACTCAGTCAGCCTTTTAAAAATTTGGCGTTTCCATCAACTGTTTTTTTTATGAGCATATGCAAAATGTGCATATAAATAAGTGGATGGAAACATAGCTAATGATATTTGGTTTTTGGCCCTTCATACAATACAAAACAAGTTTGAGCACCCCTGCTATACACACAGAAGAAAAGAAAGTGTTGAATGTCACTATTTTTGTTTTATGGGCATACAAAAGGATTCTGTTGCTTGATAATATTCAGATCGAACCACTGAAAGCATATGGTCTGTTGTGAGAATTTTATCATGGTATTTTTTCTGGACTTTGAATGAGTCTTGACCATTTGTCTGAACCATTTGGAGGATGAGAGAGATCTAAGATTTCATCTAAAATATCTTAATTTGTATTCTAAAGACTAATATAACTCTCAGGGTCGACATGAGGTAATGAGTAATTAATAAAATAATTTATTTTTTGGATGAACTACCCCTTTAAAATGTCATGAAATTGTCTTTTCATTTAATTTGTACTGTTCTCTCTTAGAGTTTAATATTGCTATTGACAGTTAAAAAAAACATAATTTAGTGGCAAAAAACTAATTTCCTTCTTATTTTACCTCCATTTATTGAAACTTATAAATTCAATAGGAGTAATGCGATTGTATATTAAGGAGTGAATACCCACTCATATGAATGGCTAACAATTGTGCATATTCAAAAGTTTTTGAAAACTGATCAGAGCAGCTATTTTGTCCGCGGATATAAACATCTTCATGTAGGGTTGACAGCCTACATCATTCATAGATGGACACTGCTGTGATTTATGTTAAAAAGGCAATAATACTTTGTACAATACAATTACTAATTACTTGTGTGTGGCAGCACTACTGTTGTATCTAATATATTTGCCACAACGTGATCTTTACTTTCATTAATGCTCTTAAATTTCCAGCTGTCGCATAAGTTCCACAATTTTGAATACATTAACATAAAAAAAAAAACAATCAGCAGAGTACAACTTTAGTTTTAAGAAAAACAAGTCTAGCAATTTAGAGTCTCAGCATTAGGCCTGTAAATGTGGCTCTTTCAGTCTGTTTGTGTGAGGCGTTGGACGTCTGGTGCTGTTTAAGCAGCTGTCAGGACGGTATGTATACAGACACAGAACTCCCAGAGGATAATGGGTAAAGCTGTCATGCTGCTTTGTTCCCACAGTGCATCGGTCTGTGCGTGCAGATACCCAGTTCACCCCATTCGCCCCATCAACTGTTTACTTGACTTTTACTTCAGCCAGAGTGAGCTTTCGTATTTACCATTCAGCATCTATTATATCCTCGCACGCTCCAGGCTCTCCAGGTTTTCATGACTGTTTATGTTTTGCCTGACCAGAAATGGTGTCCTGTTTGTTCCTTCTTGCATGATTGTTGATCAAGCTTTGATCTCACATCAACACAGGGTGAAAAACAGGACCAGTCGGGTTTATGAATGTGAAAAAGAAAACCAAGAACGCAAGAGCCCTCATGTCCAGCCCTTTCTCATCAACTCACCGTATCTACCAAGTTCCTCCACGGACAAACACTTCCTGTAGCAGCACATGTCCCATTCGTCTAAGGTAGACCTACTGTATAACATCTGTCAGTCCTCAAGCATTTCGTTCTGCAAACTGAGCATCATCTATTCTCAGACCAGTTCTCATCCAGATCCCAACACCTCACCTCGGACAGCCTTTCCCCAAATTCTGCCTGTTCCACCTTTTTTCAAGACATTCCATTAAGAACTGAACCATGTTTCAAAGTCGTTTTCTAAAACAGCGGCAAGAGCAGCTTTTTATCTCAAATTCATACTATATTTTTAGGGTGGATTCCAAAGGGATGGTTCACATAATAACAAATGGGAGGTGGGAATTTAAAGGACAATTTTCTAAAGTGTCAATTTTGTTGTTGTTGTTGTTGTTGTTGTTGTTGTTTTAACTTAATTTATTATTATTTTTTAATTGGTTGATTAAAGGTCATATTACGTTGTTGCATTTATTATTCTACATCTCAGACAGGATGATGATGTGTATTTCATAATCTAAAACTCTTGTTTCAGGGCAGTTCACTCCAAAATTCCAACTTATTATTTAGTGATGTAGACAGTTTAACAGAATGTTCATGATTCTTATTTCCATTCTTTTTCCAACGACTTAGCATGTGTGTACAAGAGGCAAAACAGTATCAGGAATTCTTCTGGTACACATAACTAAGGAGATCTGCTGCAATGAGATCTCCTTCTGATAGCTGTATTGAACTGGAAAGGGAAAGATTGTAACTAAAGAGGGTCGCACACATTTTTGAATCATTCAAAACATAGTTTTCTATTAGTGTATGCACACCGGTGGCACATTTTGGTGTCTGGCCATGGTGCCCAGCTACAAATCAGGACGCTGTTCAAATTTCTGCCACTCCACAGAGTGCGATCTGAAGTCTTCTCTTACATAACATTACAGAATGTGCTCCTCTGTTGTGCGAACACTGAAGTTGTCATAGACGTGTTTTGGTGCTATGCTTCTCGCCCAACATAAGACAAGAAGAAACAGGATGGGTGGTGTCCTGTAGCTACACACACACAAAGACACACACACAATGATAACAAAATAAATCTAAATACATTTTTAATTTAAGAAAAAGCTTTTTTAAATAACCAACAATCATAACAAACTTGAGCATGTCACTTTTAAAGAAACTCATGAAATTAAAAAGGGACAATGGTAATTAATTGACAATGGAAGTCTTTGACTACCAGAAACTGTTTGATTGACTAAATATAAATTTGCCTTTTTATTTACAACACTTTGTTTACCTTATTTGGCCAAACTACACGAGCCTTTTTAAATAAACTGAAATAATATCAGGAAGAACATCTTACAATCAGATTAAATTAATACAATTCCTCTTGACAACAAAGATAGCAAAGAAAACAACCTTAACATTTAGATAAATTTACTGTTTATTTATAAATTGATTGTTTAACAAGGGGTATGATGTCGCATGAATACAATAAAATTAATAATAAAAATGTCATGAAATTTAAAACTAAAACCGCCAATAGATGTAGTCAAGTCTTCGACATTGTCTCTGAATGTTTCATTTAATTGAGTTGTTCGAACTCCTGATTCATTCACAAATGTCTTGCTGAATACACGACTGAATCATTGTCTCATATCAAAGCTCAAGATTTATTCGTAAACAAAATATGGTATGAAGATGTACTGCAGCTGAGCTGTTTGGAAGCATTTTCCAGAAAACGTAGCAACATTTGGACAACAGTGATTCTAAAAATGCATCACATCAGTTGCGTTCTGATTTTAGGGATAATAGTAAGGGTTCATTTTAGAAACAGGGAGCCTTGAATCTGCTGTAACTCAGATATTAACAGTGAAACTTGGGTTGCTAAAGTAAATGTTAGCTAGCCCTGTTAACTGTTTTATAGTGAATATAGAACAGCTTGTTGTACTCGCGTCAAGTCGCCTAAACTGTTTTGAAATGCAGTTATGCACGGCAGGTACAGCATACATATATAATATATAAACAATAAAATATCATACCTTCTGTTCTCTTCCGTCTGAACTGCTCTCTTAGACATTTTGAAAATCGTGCACAATGACGCAATGAACTGTATGGCGCTTGTGAGTTGCGCCTTATTACAATACTGAGATCTGATTGGTCAAGCGTCATAGTTTATAAGTTATAAATAACCATAAATAGAGATTTTTAATATTTAATTTGCATGATAAGTTTTACATTACACACACTGCTGTTAATCTAAAGAGGATGTGGGGATGGTGGTTTTACAAAGGGGATGGTGGTTTTACAAAAGGGATGTTTTTTGTCACTTATTTCCATTTAAGGGATGCCATCCCCCCGCATCCCCCCTCAATTTGAGCACAGAGTATATCTGTGTATCCTACCTGTATCATATAATACCTGTGTATGGAGCTGTAACAAAAGAATGTCACATTTTGGTGAAATTGTGTTATGTACTTGTGTAAAACACATTATTGCTAACGGATATACTGTATTAGTTTATTTATCAATTCGTTTGAAATAGATGAAGAATTTCTGTCTCACATCTTTTCAGTGTGACAGAAATTGACAGAATTTACACAATAAACCTCAGTATCAGACCAATCGCATGCGAGTTCATGTCAAGTGTGAACTCACCTTTAAATACATGGTCATTTCATCCCCAAAAAATAAGAAAGATGGACTCTCCTTCATCGAGTTTCAAGTAAATATTGTCACCGGAAGTTTTTCATTACCAACATTTTTTCAAATATCTTCCTTTTTGTCACGTGAGAGTGAACTTATCCTGACAGGTATTACTTATTTTGGGTGAAATACGTGTATCCCATTAAGTCCCACCACCCCCTCCTTTCCCCCTTTTCTCAAATGTAATTTTCAATCACATCAATGCCAATGTAAAAGGTTTGATGTCAATAATGTCAAATAGAATTTATATTCATGAGTCTTGCCACAGATCAACATAGATTTGAATAATATGAAAGACAGTGATTAAATTTGTTCCTCACATCAAACTACAACATGACTTGGATTATCACGCGGAGTCATCCATTTTAAAGTAAACATCTGTGTTGCTGATTTGTGGATCTAGACTCTAGTCTCAGGCTTTTTCCTGAATGGAAAGGCGCATCATGAGCATTCTTAATTTCACAGAGCAAAGCCAGTCATGTAGATTTGATAAAGGCAAGGAGTGTGAGTAAACCATGACAGAGTTGGAATTTTTGGGTGAACTGTTCCTAATCCAGAGCTCCATCCTGTTGTAAAGTCCCATATATTGTGTTCCTCTTAAATGTGAAAGTATTATTTTGTGTAAGATCAATAATGTGTTCTTTTCATTCAGAATGCTGGAGCAGTTTCAGATGTTTTCTTGTGTTTTGCAGTTATATTACTTTGCATATTTGTTGAAGGCTTGAATCATTTTTCTTTTGTTTGTTGGTAATGTTGTCCTGTGTCAGCAATGGATCGGGGTCTGATGAAGACGGGTGGGGTATTGTAGTGAAACTACATCCTATGATATTTCTATTTATTTCCAGCTTTTTTGTTCTCGTTAATGTGTGTGTACTTTGCATTTTAGACGCCCTGCTTTCTTAAATGCAGCTTGGATGTTTTTTGTATTAGATCCAGAATCCCAAACACCAGCTCCCGCCAGTTTTTAAATGGGATTTGCAGGGATAACTTTGTTCATTTTCAGTATATTTCTACTTTTCTACTAGAGGGGGCAGTATGTTCTTATCCATGAGGTCTACAGCAGATCTGCAAAGCCTTCAGAATGAGCATCCACACACAAGCTGAAGTGGCTTGAGATGAATTGGAATTGATTCACCCGGAATGGAGTTAATTAGCAGTTAGGTGATTTAAATGTCATAAGTCTGAAAACTGATCAGATAGAATCTAATTGAAATGCGTTTCATTTATTTATTGAGACATTATAACAGCACTGATTGATTTTAGAGATCCAGACCTGACCATTTTTGTGCAGCAACCCAATTCTAGAAATTCAAAGTGGGATTTGTGGATGTTATGTTGCACATCAACACTGCCGGTGGCGTAAGAGCATACTGCCCTTTGTCCAGCTGACGAGTCCAGCACGTCCAGTTTTTAAATGTCTATTTTAAAATGTTACGCTTTTATAATAGTTCAGATAGTATCCTGTACAGAGAACGAAGTGTTGTAGTTCGTTCAGTGTGTTGTTTTCTTCATTGTGGCACTCCTTTCCTATGCTAATCTGGGGTGAAGAATAGACAAGAATGGTACGTTTCGTCCTCAGAGGATCTTTTTCTTCTCATAACAGCCCTCTTTCTTTTGCCATCACTGGAAAAAAAGACAAATGTACAATATAGCACCATGCACTGAATAAACTCCAACTTAGTCACATTCCTGGCACTGTTTCATGAGTATTTTTTTATAATTAGTATTATTCACCACCTTGTTTACTGTGTGTCTCCACAACCACTATGTGTGCAATTGATATAATATTATTAACATTGCATGACTGTCACGCATGCTGGATAAGAGGGGCTGTTCTGCAACACAGATAAAAATATAAACAAGAACAGGCCACTTTTAACTTCATGGGCCCTATCATACACCCGGCGCAGTGTGGCGCAAGACTCGGCGCAGTAGTCTTTTGGTAGTTTCAGCTTGGCGCAAGAGTCGTTTTGAGGCGTTGCGCTACGCTGTTTAAATAGCAAATGCATTAGCGCTTAATTGTGCGCCCATAGGCGTCTGGTCTAAAAAGGGAGGCGTTCTGAGGCGGACCGCTGGCGCGTTGCTATTTTAAGAATCTATAATAGATTTTTCATTAGACCAAAACTAACCCGGTCTAAACTCCGGCGCAGAGTTGCCGCTCGCTTACACACTGCTTAATACACACAAGAGAGCAATAGGCAAATATCTTTACATATGAAAAAAATAAAATATTAAGGATATATACAGTATAGAATATAATAAGAATAGATATAGAATATAAATATATAGGATTAAAATATTACAAAACATATTATTTTCTAGCCTACATAAATATGAAAAACTACTGCTTTTATGTCTTCTTCATCTCGGGAGGCTTTTTCAGTTCATTCCTAACAATTTGCTTTTGTATAATGTTATTATTATTAGCAGTATTATTTAATATATCCATATTTATATTTGTTTTATTAAAATCAAGCTTAGATTTGCCCACCTGTCAGATTTTAGACCATATGGGGCACAGCATGTGTTTTAGGGTATAACTCAGGTTTTTGAGCACATTTTATTATTGTTCATTTATTCGTTTGCTGGAAATTAGAACTGAATTTAGAAATAGTTTTGAAACGAATATTAGCGCTTAACAAGCAAAAGTATTTATTTATAGACTAATTGATGTCTGTGCTTAAAGGTTTCCCTATCCAAGAGCGAATGTGAAAGTAGTTCCATTATCTCTCACGCAGTAGATGCTCTGTTTAACAGTTTTCTGTTAAAACTGTTAACTGTTAACTGTTTGCTTGTGAAATGCTCATTTTTTCCACTTAGACTTTGCGTCCTGTAAATAGCGAATGCGCTTCTGGCGCGACGCAGCTGGATCTTAAAGGGAATGGGAGGTGAGACTATAATTGGTTTATTCTCAAAACACACCTATAACCCATTAAGAAAATAAACTCAACCCTTTTAGACCATGCGCCACGGCGCAAGGCAGATTTGCCGTCCTTAAATTAGCAAAAACGCGTCCTGACATGCCCTGAAAGCGTTTGTGCCCTGCGTTTTGCGCTCTGCGCATGGACCGTCAAAATAGAGCCCAAAGTCTGTGTGAAGTTGTTGAGACTTTTAGTGAAGTATGTTGATGTACTTTCAACTAAAATAATATATTGATGGGGCTTTCTTTTGCACATCATTCCCTAATAGCAAACTAACGGTAAGAGAGAATAATAATTTGCAGCTGCTATGGAAGTCATCAGGTTGACATCAACAGAAAGACCGACTATGCTACAAACATGGAAGCATGTGTTATTTTTCATTGAAGATTACCAAAACAAACACATTTCTTAAATAAAAAAACACTTAAAGTACAGATAGTGGGGTTGGAGGACAGATTTTGTTAAAAGGTTGATGGAGCAAAGTTTTACTGTGATTTCCTAGAAGTCAAGAATTGGCACTGTGTTTACTTGTGGAAGAGTCCAAGCACAAGCAATATGTTGCTGGTCACAGTTCGCATTTAAAAACCCAGATGTCACTAATATTAATAGTTTCTGAATTCAACAAGCAACTCTTTTAAGGAAAACAGTAACCCAGAAATAGCTTCATGTTCTGAGGAACATTGCTTAACATTTTCCTTCTGCTGGCGTTCACATGCATAAGTGAGATGTGTGAAACAGGACTAACTCATCCTCTAAGAATTTTCGCACAGGTTGTGGTTTATCACCGCTGTTTATCTTGATGAAAGCAGGCTGCAGGTAATGACTTTGATTGCAGTGGATTCCCTCGTAATACTGTGAGCTGAGATGAACTGTCACAGGTGTCCAGTGTAAAATCAGATTTATAAGATAGGTTGTTTACCAACCTGGAAAACAATTTTATTTGGAAATGATGATGATCTGCTGTTTAAATAGAAAGTAATATAGTAGGTTTCATTTGTCTTCATGCTTTATTTATTATATCATGCACTTTAGCTTCAGTTTAGTTGTCTTAAAATGGGTGGTGCTACAGATGGGGCTGTCAAATTAATTTATTGCATCGCATTCCTGTTTCTGACTAGCCTTAAAATTATATATTGCATCATTTATAAAGAAAGAAATCTGCAATTTTTTGTAACTATAAGACTTTGGGTGGTTCTCAGTACTCAGTTCACTGAATGATGCATCTTTGTTTTTCTTTGAGTTCTGTATCCTTGTGTTTTTCCATCATATCCTTCCCTGTAAGCTAAGCTTGAGGGCTTGGAGATGTGAGGGAAGGAAATGAGGATATAGAAATAAGATAAGAAGCACACTATATAACGTGAGACTATTTAACATGCACTTCAGGGCAGGCCTGAATTGGCTAATCGGGAGGACCGGGAGAATTCCCAGTGGGCCGGTCCGTTTTTTTGGCCGCGAGGGTCAGTGTCCCTAGCTGGTTGCACTCTCAGCAGTCGCACTTTTTTCAATCATTTATTTATTTGATCATAGCCTCACTCTTTTCATTCATTATTTTGCAACAGCTCTGCTTTTTTTTATTTATTTTCTCGCAGCCCCGTGAGCAAAATGCAGCCTGCAGGTTAATGATGATGTAACATGATCATTCCACCCCAAACAGCGGCACCTTAGTTCATATAAAAATTTGAATAATTATTATTAATGAATATTACATCTGCTCAATGAAAATCAGATGTTTCACTACATTAATAAATCTGACATAACTTAATCAGAAATCTAAAAAGGGGAAAAATGATTAAGCCATCAATAGAAAAAAGAGTAAGAGTCTTGCAGATAACAGTGCAATGCTTTTATTTTATTCCAATAGCTCCAGGTTTAACAGTGGTCCAGTGTTCAGCACGTTGCGGGACGATGCCGCGGACGCGTGTTTTAAACATGCCCAGAGTAAACTTTTTTTTTTTTCTCATTTTTATTGTTAAGACATATAATACTGTTTGGGTTACTAATATAGGTGTACATATTTTATTTGATTGTGTGTCCACCTTTACAAAGGACTGGATATCTATAAAGAATTTAGCACAGAATAATGTATTGAGATATTGCACTGGAGTGGGCCGGTCTAAGGCTTGAAACTCCAGGGCTGAAAAGGAGTCCCACTTCGACCCTGCTTCAGAGTCAGACTAAGTTTGTCATAATGTACTTTATCCTGAAAGGGTATAAAGTTTAAAGGTGCCAGAAAATAGATTAATGCAATATATTTAAAATATTTTAACAAATTGATTAGATTGCTTGCCTAATCAATAACAACTATGTTTTTAACTCATGTTAGAGAGGTTTATTATAGTTTATATAAGAGGGTTCTTTATGCCAAGGGTTCTCAAACTTTTCAGCGCGGGGCCCCTAAAATAACAATGCCAATGACTCGCGACCCCAACTGTTTTCAGAAATGGTTATAATCATACAAACGTTGCAGACAACACTCACACAAACCAATAGGCCTAAATAAACACAAGCATGTTGACAACACAAAAAAAGTGCAACAGTCTAACAACCATATCATTTTTTTATTTTATTCTTATTTAATATTAACCTCACCTAACGAGACTGGTGGGCACAATATTTTTGTTAATTATTAAAAAGTTACATCACAAGTCTTTTCTTGGTTTAATTTTGGAGACTGCCACTTAAAGATCATCCTTTATGTTCAGTCGTGGCCTGTATTTATTTTAAATGTACGTGAATGCTGTAAAGGTGTCAAAGTTTAGCTAGTGCCATAAAATCAATCTGGTGCAACTAATGCTATGTTGTTAATCTCAGGTAAAAACCCTGGGGATTCATTCATTTATTTTCTTGTCGGCTTAGTCCCTTTATTAATCCGGGGTCGTCTCAGCGGAATGAACCGGCAACTTATCCAGCACGATTTTATGCAGCGGATGCCCTTCCATCCACAACCTATCTCTGGGAAACATCCACACAAACACATACACACACACTCATACACTACAGACAATTTATCCTACCCAATTCACTTGTACCGCATATCTTTGGACTGTGAGGGAAACCGGAGCACCCGGAGGAAACCCACACGAACGCAGGGAGAACATGCAAACTCCACAAGGAAACGCCAACTAAGCCGAGGTTCGAATCAGCGACCTTCTTGCTGTGAGGCGACAGGACTACCTCCTGCGCCATTGCTTCGCCCCCTAAGGGTTGCAATCCAATGTAAAAAAAAGAAAAAAAACATCTACAAAAATTGAAAAGCTGATGGCTTTTTGTTTGGATATTGTATTTTTATCTTCTGTAGGTTACGGATTAACAATGGTCATTTGAAAAGTTTATTCAAATTTATTAGATTTTTGGAAATCACCAAGCGACCCCCTCTCATTGTCCCGCGACCCCACAGGGGGTCCCGACCCCCACTTTGAGAACCACTGCTTTATGCTACCACAGAAAACTTGCTTGCTCCTGAGTTGTGCTGTGAATGAAACATAGGCTAAAAAAGAAATATTTATAGTTAATTAACTAAACTGGTCAAAAAGACAAGACAGAGATATATTTAGAGTTGTATTTTGCGTATAAACGCAAAATATTCTCCATATAAACGTGAGTTTTATAAAGTTGTTTGACTACAGAAAAAAATGCCAGTAGGAGCTAAGTGATATGACATGATGCATAAATGTGCATTGAACACTTACATTGAACAGTTTACATGTGTTTGTTGCCTCACTACAAACATACAACAGATTTGTGCAATTTACTTGTTTAAAATAAATC